GTGAAGGGCTGAGCCCCCGTTCTCCCACAGGAATGGGGATCTAGAGGATGGTTATGGGTGCCCACCCTAAATTGGGGACTCAAGTAGGGGCTCTGATGAAGCTACGTTTTTGGCATGAGCACCTATATTTAGTTATGGAAGCTGAAATATGGGTCCTGCTGAAGTTGCTTTTATAGGAATAGCTTGGAAAGGGCCACGTTTCATGCATCACAAAGATACGATTTTGGAAGGCTAGCTAGAATTTGCAATGAGACTCTTGTTTATGCCAAACATTCTGAACATGGGTCTAGATAGGAATTGATGAAAGACGAGGGAGAAATTAAGCTGAATGCAGGCCTATTTGGCTCACCGGGTGGGGGTGTTTGGATCCCCTGTCACATCGGATGTTCGGATGTCAATTAGAAAGACTAAACATGAGCTAATTACAAAACTAATTATATAGAGATTAATTGGCAAGACAAATTTATTAAGCCTAATTAATCCATCGTTGACACATTTTTTTACTGTAGCATCACCTTGTCAAATCATAGACTAATTAGATTTAATATATTCATCTCGTAAATTAGTCTCCATCCGTGAAATTAGTTTTATAATTAATTTATTTTTAATACTCTTAATTAGTATTAAATATTCGATGTGACAGGAAGTAAAATTTAGTCTGGCGAACCATTGCCAAGAGTACCAGGGACGACAGGCCCCTGTCCAGTTGCATTGCACAAGTTATTTGGTCAAAACTCAGAAAGATGCTCCATTTATTATTATTTTTTTGCCCGTGCAGACTCTACGTTTCTTCTTCACACATGTCTATTTATTTTTTTTATTAGTCATCAAGGGACAAATTCGGGAAGTCTTTATAATTTCAACGATACCCTTGGGGTTGGAGAAGTGCATGTAATCCACTTCCGAGCGAGATCCCTTGCCACGCAAAGTTGCATTGCTTGTGTTGAACACATGCCGCACCATAGCATGATTCCTCCTTCCATCGATGGTCGTCGGAGGCCATCGCGTTTGAAGAAAAATGTGGTCACATCTTTGACTAACCTTTTCCAAGATAGGATCTTAATTAATTGCAATCTGAAGCGTTGAGCCCAAAAGTTAATGGCCGGATATGATGTCGTAATTAAGCAGCGATCACGTCGATCGGTCATGCACCAAGATTTTTTTTATTTCAATACTTTTTTGGCAATGCACATCATGGCAGAGGCTTAAATACACTTATATGTGCGCACACCACTACAAATATATACACGTGCATCTCACTCTTATCAGCATCTTTAAGACTAACCGACAAAGTCGGAAAATCCTTTAAAGTCACCAAGATCACCTTCCTATCAAGGGATGTCGCTAAGCACACACTAAGATCACCTTACTGCATGTGTGACTGCACTACACTCTTAGCAGCAATGACGATGGGATGGCGAAGAAAATGCTGACCTAAGCATGGTACTCAGGCTTCTTGCAGATTCCGATACATCCGTCGGACAAGGATAAGACAACATTTACCTGTCCTTATGGTAGATTTGCTTACCGACGGTTGCCATTTAGTCTATGTTTTTATGTGGAACTTCTGCTCCGTGAAAGTTCTGTGTTTTTCTGCAGAGGTTCTACGCAAGCAGATTCTAGTAGGCTGAATCAAAGAAGAAAAAAGTCAAAACCAAATCAAATCCAAATGACCTAAAATTTTGCGCACGGCTTCGTTAGGATGTTTTAAAGGTGTGCACAAAAATTATGCTTCAAAAAGCTCAAATCTTGAATGCCAGATTGAAAAACAAGCTCTCAAGTTGGGGTTTTTGCAATGTCCTTGAAATGGAGGAGATGGGGGTGCTCATGGGAAATCTGGTCGAGACAAATCATAAGCATGTTTCCAAAACCTCAGCATAAGAAATCAACCTGAAAACCTCTCAAAGACCCTCGAGAATTTCACCAAAATAGCAAGATTTTGGAGAGTTTCAGGGCTTGGAACCAAGAGCTTTGGAGCTAGGCTTCAAAACATGATCTAGATATGTTCGAAATGTAGTATGCCTCATCGCAACAGTTTGTTGCATTGCAGTCAACGGAGAAAAACATTGACACGTGTGCATTATTTTAAATCAAATAAACAATAGCATACTACTAGAACCAGCTTCTCACGAGTTATACCGCTTAGAGCAGTGTGCTCAGGGATCGCCCCTTGCTAGTACAACTTCTTCTTCCAATGCCTAGGGGTCCTCCTATGGTCGATTTTTTTAATAGCATACTACTAGAAGGATGCATGATCGATGCATATAACCATCAAGAATACATAAAGCTGGCATAATTTTTTTTCATTCCTTGGTAGTCTATGCCTAGATATACGCCGTGTCTAATATATAGTAAAAATCATGTATATAGAAAAAAATAATGGCATAAAATTTGGAATGAAAGGAAAAATTTCCTCTAACATACCTATCTAGCCTTGGCCGTGGCCATGAGATTAAACATGCCAAAAAGGTGAGAGAGAGAAGAGAAGCAATGCAATGGCGTAGCTGAAGACAAACAACGTCAGTAAGCCTAGCATGGTTGTCTTATTGTACCACCTACTACATCCGTGTGGTTCCATGAGCGGGGGCAGATCCAGCGTGGGGGCTCAAGCCCCCTCTACTCACTGGAGCTCCATGGAGTTAATAGAGAGGATGCTCGAATTGATAGTTTTAGTAGTATGCTCGGATTTATGCTGCCCCCTACATGTCTTGGAACACTTTATGTACCTACTCAAAGATGACTATCAGTGTGGAGGCACAATTTCCAAGCAGTGGCACGTGGAAGATGACAATTGCAACATCATGCAACGAGCTTGTTACAGGAAACTAGATGGACGAGACAACAATAAGAAATCCGAAATAAAATAAAATAAACACATTAATAAACAAATATATGAAACAATAGTATTCCTATAATATATACATATGCGGAAATCTATTCCTTTCTTACTCAGGTGGTACTACTTGATAAGCAAGCTCATGAGCTTGGTCTTACTTCACCCTAAACGAAAGAAAACTTCAATATCCTGGTTTCTAGAATGTCACCTTCCTATGAATCAATCGTGACACAAATATATAAAACAATAGTATTCCTATAATATATACATAAAACTAGGTGTTTCAAAAAAATATGACGTCAATGTCGCACCACGTCAGTGGTGTGACACCACCTAAATACCTAACGTGTATCCACGACTAGGGAGTGAAATAACCAGTCGAACCACTAGTGTCTCCCTCGGTCCCTCCGCTAGTGAATGCAACCAGCAAGTGGTACCACATTCTTTCAATAAGGTAGCATTAGCTTTTGGGGTGGGACAACATTTTAGTATTTGCTTCGAAAACATTCTCATATGGGTATATTTTCTCTATGGTTCAGAGACACTTTGGACAAAGTCACCCTAAGGATGGCTGTGTTCTATCTAGATGTGGGACAATTCCATTATCCAAAATCAAGGGGACAAACTCGTTGCACCTCATGGAAATTACAACTCCAAACCGAACGGTGTCACAGGGCAGGCGTAGTGTAAGGTATAACCGCATGGATTTTTTTTTCTTGATGTACCACCCGAGTTTGGACAGTTCTCTCCTTATCTTTATGTTTTCTACTCCCTCCATCCCAAATTGTAAGACGTTTGACTTTTTTTTTGCCCCAAGTTTGACCACTCGTCTTATTCAAAAAATTTGTGCAAATATAGTCAAATTTAAGTCATTTTTGAAGAATTTTTATTAATAAACCAAACCACGACGAAAGAAGTGATATTTTACATAAAATTTTGAATAAGACGAGTGGTAAAACTTGGTGTCAAAAAAGTCAAACGTCTTACAATTTGATATGGATTGAGTATATTCTTTCAAAGTATCTTAAGGCTCATTTTAAAAAAAAGGAGAAAAAGAAGAAAAAAATAGCATAAGCCCACACATACGGATGGCTACGCTGTGTTAGCTAGGAAATAAGCACGAAGACATCTGTGGGCGTGTTTAGATCCATTTGAACAAAAAGTTAGCTAGCTAGGTTAAAAAAAAGCTAGCTAATAGCTAATAGTTGCTAATTTATAGCAGGATGTTTTTTTAATCCACCTGCTAATAGGTGGTTGAATAGTGAGATGAATGTGTATATAACTATTAGTAAATATTAGTAATTCCAAACTTGCTAATGGAACTAATTATTATTAGCCCTTTAACTAATAATTAGCATATTATTAGCAGATTTATTTGGATCTCCTAATACTAATTTTAGCTGCTAATTTTTAGTGCTAATAAATCCGAATAGATCCATATTTGATTTCCAGCGAGTGCCCCTCGAGGTATGAGTTAGCGAGCATTTTGCTTGGTTTCACATGAGACGAGCTTCGAGTCGCCTGAAATAGCAAGGCAAGGCTCGCTCACGCAAACGAAACGTGGCAAAGCTTGCTCATAAACTGAACACGCCTTAAAAACGTTCACGAACACTCGTCACGAGAAACACAACACAACACAGTTGCAAATCGCAATCGTGGTCCAACGAGGAGCTGACAATTAGCCTGTCCGCTGCTCGGATTCTGGGCTAATAAGCCCGACTGATGCTGATTTATTATAAAGAAAAATACTATATCATAGCTGATGATAAGCACTGACTGAATCTATTCTTTTGGAAAAAATAAGTCAGACGAACGGCTGAATTTCTCCACGAGAAACCTGTCATCCAGCGAGCGCTTGTGCCAAGATCAATCGATCGCAGCCGTTGGCCCTGCATCAGACGGCCGCCGGCATGCTCCGTCGCCACACCCAATCATCCACGCACACTTGTCGCCGCGCCGCGTCTCGTCACGCGTCTATTTAACCCGCGGCCGAGCCCCGCGGCTCACTCCTCCCACGCACTCCGCAATTCCGCTTCCGCATCACGCAGACAAGCAAAGCTAGCTAGCGACCAACCCACCGCCCGCAAGCTCAGATTCCCCTCGCCTCGCGCACCGTCCCGTTCGGCCCCACAGCCCAGCGAGTGCCTGCCAGCAGCAGCCAGCCATGTGCGGCGGCGCCATCCTGTCGGACATCATCCCGCCGCCGCGGCGGGTCACGGCGGGCCACCTCTGGCCGGGGAGCAAGAAGCCGAGGAGGGCCGCCGGAGCCGGCAGGAGGAGGGCCAGGGCCCCCGTGGAGGAGGAGGAGGAGGACTTCGAGGCCGACTTCGAGGTGTTCGAGGTGGAGTCCGGCGAGTCGGAGCTCGAGTCCGAGGATGAGGCCAAGCCCTTCGCCGCCCCCAGGAGCGGGCTCCCCAGAGGTATACGACTGGGCTCGTCGCCGATTTCTTAACTATGCACTGTATACATCGGTAGGTAGTTGGGAATTTTGGGCCACTGGTTTGGGGGTTCGTACTATTGTTTCGGTTTGGTTGTGATTTCGGAGGTAGATTTGGGTTCGTAGTCGTAGGTGGTTGTTGCTTGGATCTGGGAGAGGTGAGGAGCTAAATTCGCATAGCTGTAGTAGCTGCTGTACTTTACTCCGATTTCTGCGAAAAGCTGTAGTAGCTGCTGTACTTCACTATTTTTTCTATAGGAATTTCATTTCTGCAAAAAAAAAAAAAAATCATCATCCGGTTCTTGATTAATGCAGTGAGACCTTGTTGCCATGAATGATTGCTGCTATTAGATCATTAGATTAGCACAACGTACCTAATCATTTCCTGTAACGTACCTGTTGCTAATCATGGGTCTCGTGAATTTTTAGCTTAGTCCCCCAATATTTTCCCCTTAGTCACGCATGTGTTGGTGTACTTCAACGAATCTGTCCAGATGTTCCTTAAAAAAAGGAATCTGTCCGGATTGCTTCGGATCTATGGTTCTTTCTTCATGTTGACATTGAATTTGGCCTTTATGTTCGAATTTACCTTGTGGCTGAGGAAAAAGAAGGATAATCGTGTGTACCAATCTGGCTATACAGCAGCTTGATATTTCTGAATGAAGATTGGGAGTATTGTTCTGTTTATTTATTTATCTATATCTATCAATTTTAATTCTGAATATTCATTTGTTTGCCAGTCTAGTAGAATTTGTATGCTTTTGTGCATCATTAACACTTCAATTCTAAGTCTATACTATGGTATAGTAGCACACTTTCAATCTTTCATGGGCACAACTGATGTCTTATGTTGATCTCCTTCATTGCTTTAGATGGATTATTAAACACTAGTGCAGCTGGTGTTGATGGCCCTGCTGCAAATTCAGTTAAAAGGAAGAGGAAGAACCAGTTTAGGGGTATCCGCCGGCGCCCATGGGGTAAATGGGCTGCTGAGATTAGAGATCCTCGCAAAGGCGTTCGTGTCTGGCTTGGTACTTTCAACTCTCCCGAAGAAGCTGCTAGAGCTTATGATGCTGAGGCACGCAGGATCCGTGGCAAGAAGGCTAAAGTCAACTTCCCAGATGATGTTTCGATGATTTCTCAGAAGCACCGAGCTGGGCCTACCTCTCTGAAAGTGCCTGAGATGGACGTTGAAGAGAAGCCGATTATCAAGACGGCAGTCAACAACATGAGCAACTCAAATGCATATCACTACCCTGTTGTCGGCCACAACATGCCTGAGCCATTTATGCATACTCAAAACATGTCATTTGCTCCTTTGGTGAATTCTGCCACCCCCGTTCAGGAACCTTTCGTGAACCTGTCTTCAGACCAAGGTAGCAACTCCTTCAGTAGCTCAGACTTCAGCCTCGAGAATGACACCAGGACCCCTGACATAACGTCGGTAGTGGTTGGTGAGTCTGCATTCGTCCAGAACACCGATCCTGCTGTGGTGCCTCCTATGATGGGGAATGCTAGTGTTGATCTCACAGAGTTGGACCCATATATGAATTTCCTGATGGACAGTGGTTCAGAGGACTCAATCAACACCCTTTTGAGCTGTGATGGATCCCAGGATGTGGTTAGCAACATGGACCTTTGGAGCTTTGATGACATGCCCATGTCTGCTGGTTTCTACTGAGGTATGAGGCCCAGCGACAGGTGCTTGTACATTGGAACAAAGGGTAAGCATGTGTAGTAATAGAGGTTGACTCTTTCTGATACTTGCAATTTCCATTCCTTTAATTCTTTCTTCTCTCCCTGTGTTTCAGGAATAATGTTCTGGAGATGAAGAAACGCCTGTGTGGCGTGCCTGCAGGCGTGCAGTAGCTGTGGTATTAGTATATGCTTAGATGTTCAGTCAGTTTCTTAAGTACACATTGGCGCTGGACATGTACCTTATTTTTAGTTTGACTATGTATCCGTGACAACAACTATGTGTCTGCAATTTTTATCTTCCTGCCTTAACTTCAAATGGCTTTGAACATTGCGAGTTTGTAGCCAATATATGTGTACTATGTGCTTGGTTTGCTATTAGTCTAGTTCATCCTTCGCTGCAATGTGAACAGGCTTTTGTGGGCATGCATGTGCGCGTAGCACGTCTATGGAAAAGCATTCCATCGAAATAGATGAATAACGATCAAATTTCTTCATAATGGATGAATAACAATCAATTTTTCTTTTTGGAGAAGTCAGTTTCTTGATGCATGCATATGGTCTAGGATGGCACAACAATATATACCTATTATTCAATCCATATTACGAGTTCTACCCATTTATTACCAATAATAATTGTTTTACAAAGGAGCATGGAGCATGGGCTAAAAGTGGATGTGTACCAGGAACTCCAAATTAGCCATTACCCATTTGTTTTCGAGTGCAAAAAAGTGGTCGTGTATCAGGAACTCCAAATTTCTGGCCCACACGCCAAGGCGGATTTTTGGTGCACACGGCTCATGGGCACAATGTTTTGTTGGATGTTGAAGAACCCTATAGTACCCAAACGGTTGCCGCAGCTGCCATCATGAAACCTCACGCCTTGCGTGGGCTAGCAAACTTAGACACATGACTCTACGGGAAAAAAACAGCAGAACAGAGCATGTTAGAATTTCATTTCTAAATAGGAGACATTGTTCTAATTTATTTTCATTGTACACTGTTTTTTTTACAAGCAAAGAGAGAATTTTATTAGCTAGTTACAAACAAATTAAGGAAAGACCACACGCACATAGGCAAATTGTACAAAGAGAGAAATTGTACAATGTTTTTGTGAAGACATAAAATGTGTGTACCATTGTGATGTGCAGCTAGAGTACGAGAGAGGAGCCTGTGAGGAATGAGAATGTTGCACTGTCGCAGGCTTCCGATGTCGATTCCGACGAGGAGGCGTGTGATTTCATTTCAATGGCCGGCACCGTCGCGAAGGACTTTCCCTTTCCGTTCTTGCTTTCTGAACGCGAGAGGAGGGCGGCAGGGCGCCTGGGCGGTGTTTCGTTTGCTCGCAGAAGAGCAGGAGGTAGAACCGGAGAATCGCAACTCGCAACTGGCAAGCGCGGATCCAGAGACGCACGATGCACCCACGGTGCTACCTGCCCGTGCCGTCCGCCTGTTTGGTTGGGCTTGGACCCGTCAAACGTGAGCACGTGACTGCTGCCTCTTGGGTGGGCCGTATGTGTCATGTGCAGATGGGCCGCCGCTGACATGGTGGTGCATGTAATTAGGCAGTTAGGCCAGTTCCCCTAAAAAAAAAGAGAGAAAAAGTGTTAGGCCAACGGAGTGCACAAATGATTATCCCGCGCGTTGCCGCGGGGCAGTGTTTCATTCACTTGTTTGTGCATCAGCCCATGTAAAAAAGTTTACAGAGGAACCAAGAGTATGTGCAGAGAGTTTTCAGTACACAACCTAGAGGTGAAGGTATGGAGTAGCACCGTGCAACTTCAAACCTAAGAAGGCAACAATTCAAAATGCCGTAGTAATAAAATATGTGCACAAAATCAAAGATCAATTGAAGGGCAGACTACATCAGCATAACAGTTGGAATGATTTTGAAGCATCGTAGTAACATTGCCATTTCATATGCTCAGAGTCGCAGGACCAGCAGCAAGATAGATCAACTGGCTAAACCTGAATGACAGACCGCAAAGATGTCGATAAGAAAGCAGACGCATATGCATGGTCATGGGACTAAAAGGAGCAATGATCTCCGAAATAGAATAATATAGAGCTGAAGACATCCATACTTAGTAGTAGTTAAAAACACAAAGACAGTAGGGATAGCAGTAGTGTTAGCACTCTAGGAGCAGCTATTTTACTTTTTTGACCAGTGTTTATGCAGAGGTTAGTCTTCCATTCACCATCAGGAAAAGAAACTCTAGGTAAGGCCAGAGGTTGAGGCTCACCATTGAGTATAGAAGTAGGAGATCATTGACAGAATCAACTGGCAATGCCATACAATTGCGGCCTACAAAACTAAATAACTTCAGTTACAGGAAAAAACAATTTTCAGGTTTGACATAAGAAAGCAAATTGAACTATTTATAGAGATCTCAGCTGAGGTGCAGGTCGTTGCCTACTGTTCGTTGTAAATGTTAAATGAAATGTTGAGAGTACTTTGTCTTGCTGCCTAAATAGGCAGCAATTGTTATTATATCTAGTAAATGTAGATTGAAGATAGTCAGGTCAGGTAGCTTGTTTGGGCAATGCTTGAAACACAGGCTTGAATTTTTTGTTTAAGTAGCATGTAATCCTTAAATCTGTATAAGCAGCACCGATGCAATGAGTCAAATTATTGTGCTATGCAAACCCAAAATATGCACCGAGTATTCATGAATAGCCTAGTGCATTGCATTTTGCGACAAATCCTGAAATTACATGCGGCTTTGGTATCTCAATTTGTTTGGATGTAGTACAGGAGTTTAGAGAAGCATGGATTGTAGTGCAACGAACCACAGGACAACTTATATTGTAGGCATGCAAGTTCTGATAATCAGAGAGGACATGAATTGACCCTATAAGATACATTCCTGCTCGTCATTCAGAGATGGTTTACCCATAGTCCGTAAATTTGTAGGGAGGGGACATTATGTACCTGGTTGGGGATGCCTGACTGAGGGCGTGGTCAGGGATGACGTGGCTGCATGGGGAAAAAAAACCAGGCATTGTAATTTCAGTCGAAGTTCAGTACGTCCGTAAATAAATTGAATGGACAATTGCTAGGTCACATGAGCAATAATGCACCAAATGAATTCAAATGGGAACCTTAACTACACAGGCATACAAATTTTTTTGCAGGAAGTGAATTATGAATCTACACATATGAACGTGAAAGGAAAGAAAGGTTCGTAGCCAAACCAATTAGTTGTTGTCCTAGAAGAGGAATAGATGATCTGCACCACCATCGAAACAATTAGAGGCTGAGGCATGGTCTGGGAGGAAATTACAACAGTTTATATTCCACTGGGCGAGTACATCTGAAACTTAAAGAACTGAAGAATGAGACTTAACTATCTCGATGGCGCGAATAGATCCCTCTGAGCACATGAAAGCTTTTGAATCTCTGACAATGAAGCCCACGGTTGGCGCTGAATCAGATTTGAAATTGTTCTGTAAAAGATTTGAAATTGTTCTGTAAAGCTTCCTGCATTGCACACAAAGGAGAATCATTTTCTTACATATTGAGTGAGTGCGTTTTGTGCGTGAGGGCCGGCGTGGTTTCGATCCATAGAAACGGCCCTGGCTGCTTCCTTTTATAGCCACAAGGAGGGAGCCAGGAGTACATGAGAGAGCTACACGTGGAGCCTTAGCGAGGAAGGAAGATCCAAAGATCGCCTAATCACTATGCAATAGATAGTGTCGGGAATGGCAATTGGTACTTGATCACTGGTGCGTCATGCCGGCCATGCCTGAGGCTGTTGAAGTCGTAGGGGTCCTTGTTGACGTTTAGTCAGCATGGCCTCCTCTGTAGGTGACATGCCGTGCCTTATGAATTTTTGACTTGGTGGTTCGCCGAGGCCTGGCAGGTGTTTGTGGCCGGCCGCCGAGGCCTGGGAGGTGACCTGAGTGCGATGCGGCGGTCTCGGTGGTCGCCGCGTCGTGCCAGGTTTAGGTGGAAAAATGCGTGGCGTGTGTCCAAAAAGCGGTAGTCCCCGCACCGTCGGGGGGAATGGTAAAAAGGAGATTTGACCGCCGTCCCCATCGCCCCTGTTGCTATGCCACGCCAATCGTGGTGACGTAGGCACAACCAGGGGTACTTACACGGATGGGACGGCCCCGCCGGGGGCGCTTTGGCGAGACGACGAGGATGCGGGACGAGCCCAGCCTCGGCCGAGGTGGAGAAGGAATAGTACGTCTGAGACCCTGCCGGGGGGTCTCGGACAAGGCGTAGAACGAGCAGTTGGGCTCTCCTGTGGTTTCCGAGACTACAAGGACATGGACTTGACCTTCCATACTGCTTTGTCCTTGGCACGGGGGTTAGATAGCACGATGATGAGCACAAAGATGGCGTAACCCCTCGGCATGCGCCCGGTCCCCCCGTCTCGGTCGTTCGCCGGCGTCATGCACTGAAGTCTTGGGCCGACGCTTATGGAGTAGTTGAGCGATGTCCTGGGCGTGACATTTCGTCGGAGGAGTTTGGTCGGGACGGAGGTTACGAGTATGTTTGCCGAACCGCCCTCGAAAGCGAGCGGAGGTGGAATTGGCATCCCATCCGAGGCCTTTTCGGGCGAGGCCTCGGCGAGAGGGTCTCGGCGAGAGGGCCTCGGCGGGCGCTTTTGGCCTTCGTATGAGGCCTCGGCACAAGAAGGCCTCGAGCGAATCGGAGAATTCTGCACAGACCTGGCGGTAGTCTTTTGGCTTTGATTTTTGCAAGGTTTAAGCAATATTTTTGGTTCTTGCTTAGGGTACCTCTTCTTGTGGTATCCGACAGTTTCTCTCTCTCTCTATTACTAAAAGCGTAGCGCCAAACCTAAAGCTGCTATTTAAGGAGGTGCTATCTGTTATGATGGTAAAAAGTTAATTATCCCTTTTTTTGGGGGGGCAGCCGGGACGTTTATCCGCTGGAGGCAAAACAAAGGTTGGAGGAACTGCTGGTGCTGGTGGGCTCGGTGGATGCATACAACCAACGGTGGCTGGGAAACGGACTGGAACAAATCGACGGCAAGGAAATAGGGATGACGTGGGTAGCTGCGGTGAAGTTTTGGTATATAGGAATAAGGATCTACTATGGTAGATTATTTTGTAATAACCGGACTTGCTAGCACCCCGACGTTCGATCTAGGTGCTAGCGTTTGCGGTGCCCGCACAGGGAGTGAGTGAGCGCACTAGCAGTGGGACTGCGCTGCCTCATACATCGCTCGCGCCGCTTCGGACGTTGCCTATGTCGCCAGCCGCTTCCCACGCGCATCCCATGTACAACATCCGATCTACTTTTGAAGCATCCAGATGCAACAGTTGTAGTATACATAGAAGACAAATGAAACACTTGAAACAAACATCGGAAACACTTGTAGAAATACCTGAAAAACATTTGAAAACCATTGCAAACATATGTAACATCTAGATGAAACACTTGCAAAATATACATATGAAATACCTGAAAACCCCTTGAAACGTATGTTTGCAATATGTATGTATAGGCAATATCTAGATCTACTTTTTTAACATCCAGATAAAACACTTTCAACATACGTCTGAAATGATGAAACATTTAAAATATAAACTTGAAAAATACTTATATAGCCCTTACAACATATGCAATATCCCGATCTACTTTTGCAATATCGATATACAACACTTACAACGTACCTCTGAAATATCTGAAATACTTGAAATATACTCTTACAACATGCGGTTTTCACCCTTCTTCCGTACAAGTACGACGCAACACAGAGCGAGGGAATGGCCAATTCCAGCAAGCCGGCGGGCGAGGATGGTGGCGTGCTTTTGGCAATGACGACCAAACCACCTGGCCCCGACCAATGATGGCCACCTCTCCCGGCAGCTTGCCCACACACGACGACTAAGCGCTGCGGCGCCTCGTTCTTCATTGTTGGCGGGCATAAGCGGAGATGAGGCCACGAGGAAGAAGAGGTAGTGATGGAAGGTCGGTCGTGGAGAAAGGCGAAAAGCGGTACGGTGCCACCACACACAAACATACCTTGAAGGCCGTGTCGGGGAAGACGAAAATGAAAATATGTCAGGCAAAGACTGTTAGGCCATCTATATGGATTATATCAATTAGAATAACGCCCGATAGGAAAAACCACCCAGACGCCAGTTTGCTCCGGTGCCCGTGCACTTGGCAAGGAATACTTGGCTTCACCCCTACTAGAAACCTTACCCAAGGATGGTCCCATTGTACGAACTTCTGTACCGAAACAGCATGCCTTCCCACCATTGACCGTTCAGAATGTCGAATATTCCACATTTTTTAAATACAAATCTCGAATCGGATAGAAAAGAAACATAGAAAACGAATTCGAATATATCTATTTAGCGTCCTTATTAAAATTGGATGCAAATACCAAAATACAGATATTAATATCACACGTTTTAGATATTTAGACATCCAAATTCATCCCTAACTACCAGGCTACAATGGCAGGCCTGCTTTGAGTCAAGGGTATTCAATTAAATATGTACATTATTTTTATCAAACAATTAGTAATTATATTATATATGTTGAACACTTTCGAGTTATGATCTGATCTATAAATCTAGATATAATGTTCAATTATATGTTAAATTTTCTATTTATTATACGGATAAAATGAGTACTATATGAAACACTAGGCTTTATGTTGTAAAAAAGGAAAAATCTATTATCTTAGTATTTGGTCAATAAAAAGAGGGTCCATATTAAATCTCAAGGTCTAGAAATTACCACATTAATTGAAGAAAATAAAATCAAAATTTCAATAGACATCTAATAAATTGCCCACTACTATCATTAGCTAAAATTTGTCCAAAATACCCTCTTGCCTATTCTGCTATTACCTAATGTACCATCATTATCATTAATAAAAAATATATAAAACCAATAGAAAAGAAATAATAACATGACGCATACTAAATTTAAGTTGGAAATCCAAATAATATATGATACTCCTCTATGATAAAATACAAACATTCCTGAGATTTTTTAGAAAAAGAATAAAGACATACTAGTAAATAAAGCAAATGATATAAAATCTAATATAAGAGCATAATGATCTATCTATATATTGTGAAAAAGATAGAAGCGCTCATGAGCGTTTACTTGAGGTTTTTTTTTGGCATGTTTATGTACAAGTATTTTTATCTCTCCTGTTACAAGGCACCGGTATAATTACTAGTTTTATGTTACCTTTAAAATTCTGAATATCCCGACGGTACTCATATGATCCTGATCCCATATTCCCATTCCCGTTAGCTGAAGGCGTCAAAGAAAGCGAAAGGGAGTTGACGCATGCGCTGATGCGCCGCTCGGCCAGGCCAACCCGTTTAATCAGCGATGAACTCATGGCTCACGATAAGCCCCGTAATTAACTCAGTTTTAGCCAGGTCTACGACGTCACTGCTGTCGCCAACCTCTCCGTCGGCCGCTAAGTCGCTAACCCATCATAAATCATTGCATCCCAGCGATACCCGACAGCCTGCTTGCCGCGCTTGCATCGAGGAGAGTTCGGGGACCGGCCGGTGCGGAAGGAATCGACAGGAGGTGAGTCTTTTTTCCTCCCCTCCCCTGTACTGCCCGCAACGATTTCACTGCGATAAGTTTATTTAGCATAGGCTATCTGACTTTTCCTCTGCTTCTCTTAACGAAACACGTGCTAAGTATGTTCTCGAAAAAAAAATTCCCCTGCTTCTGTTAGAGCCGATTCTTTCGATTTACTGACTTGGCACGAATTCATTCTGCAGTTTAGTTCTGATGGCTGCTGAATCAGAGAACGGCAACTGCAATGCTTGGGCAGCGAGAGATCCTTCTGGAGTTCTCTCACCATACAAGTTTAACCGCAGGTGGCTCCCCCCTCCTGATTTGGTGAAAAGTTGCATCATTTTTTATCACTCTGTGTCCTCTTGCTATGCTAGACGCCTAACCTATTTCTTTGGGATATTTATGGACCGTATTGTTTCCATGCCTTTTTATGTACATTATTATGTTTGGTTTTCAGTGTGTTTCATAGCTGTTTTCAACTGAGCATGTCTAGTGTGGAGCAAGTAGCGCAGCTACTTCTGCTCGTGGTCTGTCAAACTAAATTATGAAATTGATGCTTACTATGGGGCATTGGGTGAGCATTTTAGGTCGGATGCGATTGCGGAAATTTAAGTGCTTGTATTTCTGTTCAGCTAGCTTATTGGTTTCATTTTCATAATGTCTTCTTATGAGGGCTACTATATGTATAATAATTTTCAGAGCAGTGCAAAACAGCGATGTTGCGCTGAAGATCATATACTGTGGAGTCTGTTATGCTGACGTTGGTTGGACACGGAACATGCACAATGATTCAAAATATCCTTTGGTTCCTGGGTAAGCGCGCGTTTCAAATCAATACATTGAATCCCTCAAAGGAAACAGAACATCATAGCCGAAACATCATATTTGTCAATGGTATTAATTTGTGCAGGCGTGAGATAGCTGGAGTTGTAACTCAGGTTGGTAAAGATGTCAAAGGCTTTAAAGTGGGTGACCATGTAGGTGTTGGAACATATGTGAACTCATGCCGAGATTGTGAGAACTGCAATAGCTCTCTAGAGAACCACTGCCCAGAAAGAGTTTTTACTTTCAATGGCATTGATACAGATGGAACTGTCACAAAGGGGGGTTACTCCACTCACATTGTAGTCCATGAAAGGTATGGCAGTACCGTTTTAATTGGCTGCTCAAACATGATTTTTTTTATATTGATAAAAGCTAGTTTTAGGGATGAAAACAGGTTCTGTTGTATTTTGTTCCACTGGAATTTCATTTGCCTATTTGATCACACTGTGTCGTATTCAAGATGCTATGTAGTTTCTTATGAGTGAGTAAAATTTGGGTTATTGTTGTCCATCCATTTTCATCATAATCAATACATGATGAAAGGATAATATATAGGTCCATATAAATCACTATTGACACCTTGATGCTGGTTCAGTACAACTTCTCAGATAAGTAAGCACATTTTCTGTTGATTAATTTGAACTTTAGGTATTGCTTCCAAATACCCGATGGCTACCCTTTGGCAAAGGCAGCACCTCTTCTGTGTGCCGGGATAACTGTGTATACTCCAATGATGCGACACAACATGAACCAACCTGGAAAGTCACTTGGGGTCATTGGACTCGGTGGTCTGGGTCACATGGCTGTGAAATTTGGTAAAGCGTTTGGTCTTAAGGTCACAGTTTTGAGTACAAGTGAATCAAAGAGAGATGAAGCCATCAACCTCCTTGGAGCAGATAATTTTGTTATATCATCAGACACACAGCAGATGGAGGTACTAAGTCAAAATATGAGAAGTTTTATTTTTGTCCTAAGTCAAAATTCTCTATTTTCGACAAAGTTAATAGAAAAATGCACGGGTATCTATAACACCAAATTTATTTCATTAAATCTGCCATGAAATGTGTTTTGATGGTGCATTTATTTGGTATTGTAAATGTTAATATATTTTTCTATAAACTTGATCAAAATTAGAGAAAACTGAATTAGGATAAAAATAAAACATTTTACATTTTGAAATGGAGGGAATATACCCTGTTTCCTTCTTGATAATATGACGCCATCTTTTGGTGGGGTTCTTTTTATTTCTTCATTGTATTACCAAAGATACAAGCACATCACATTATTTTCGTAAGGAAGGAACATATAGCAAATCACTATCTTTCTCATTGTTTTGCTATTTGACTTTAAAGTTCCAGGCAGCCAGTTCTGTATATGACCATGGATAGTTTTCTTATGCTGAGAATAAAGATAACAGCTAAGTAATGTTTGTTCTGCTTTACCTGAAAACTGACCGTGAATATATGATCTCTTGCTATTGCAGTCCCTGAAAAACTCCCTGCACTTCATAGTTGACACCGCTTCTGGTGACCATCCGTTTGATCTATATCTCTCTCTCCTTAAGGTTGGTGGTGTGATGACACTAGTGGGCTTTCCCAGTGAGATCAAAATGCATCCTGCAAGCCTTCTTCTTGGTAATTCTCTGTTTTGACACGGTACTGAAAAACATGGTAACAGAAATAAATTATTTAAATTTAACCTGAACGGCTTTTTTAGGTGCGCGGAGCTTGTCGGGTAGTGTTGTTGGAGGTACAAAAGACATCCAAGAAATGGTTAACTTCTGTGCAGCGAACAAAATCTATCCAGAGATTGAGATCATTAAGATAGATTATATCAATGAGGCTTTGGCTAGGCTTGTTAATCGAGATGTGAAATACCGCTTTGTAATTGACATCGTGAACTCTTTCAAGTAGCATGCTGGTTCACATGCTCTCGTATGTCTTTCTGTTAGTGTACAAGAGCAATCACAAATGTGAGTCATGTCAAATAAACTTGATGTAATGCTGCAGCTCATTTACAATTCTAGTTATGTGTTAATTTCATTATTGTAATATTTATGCCTTCTCTTTTTTCTGTTTTTTTTACTCAATAAAGACTGGCTGACAATAGAGGTTCAATAGAAACAGGGAAAAGCGGAGCTTTCACTCAAGCTGTTCCTTCTCGCATGGATGGCAATGACTGCTTATCTTGCAGTAGCAGCAGTGACTGCATAGAATCTTTGTTCGCGCCTACTGGTACTCGAGGTCGAGGTTACCTATCCCGATAGGGATGGATTCACATTGGTCTGGTATGGAATCAGAGTCTGGATAGCACTTGTAAGAGAATAGAACGCTCAGTTCATTCGATGTTCAGTGTACATGTACTTATACATCTTGCCGATCATTCCTAGCCGATCAATTCTAACTAACCTGCATGCACGGCTCAGCTGAAGACTAGCGACTAGCAGTTACACAGTTGAGTTACAAGAGGAGGAGCAGATCCTACGCTAGCTAACAGAAGTATGAAGAATCGGTCGCTGACAGCACTATTTACCATATTTTTATTCGAATCTGAATACAGATACAAAATGGATATCCCAAATTTAGTTTCGCATTCGGATATCTACTATATTTTTAAGATAGTGTAGATAACACATAAAAATAAATATTTCTATTATAATTAAATGTACAAAAAATCAACAAAGGGTTAGATAAATGTTTCAATACACATAATATTCATCTATAATAAAATAAAGTACTTAAATTAATATTATTAGTCATATTAAAGTTAATTAAACTTAACCTTTATATATCATTAAGAGCATATCTAAGAGTTCCTAATATTTTCTTTCCAAAACCATGGAGTTTTCTAACTCGCCAAAAAGTATTGGAGGAATATATAAGATCATCTCCAACGGTTTCTAATAATTCACTCATAAAATATAGAATATAATTTTACATCAGGAATTCTATACTATTTCTAAATTATCCTAACTACTTTTCTAAATTGTTTCTCTCTTATACATTTGCATCAGGAACCCTTTGCTACTCTTTATTCTTTCTCCGGCCTTCCACCTTTATAATGGGCCGCACCATATGCGCATTTAGATCGGCCGGAGGGGATACGTGCGACCTCCAGTCCGCGCATCTTTATGCGCAAAAGGGGTTTTTTCCAAGTGCTAAAAGATTGGGAGGTTGGATTGAGAGTTGTTGAGATGATTTTTTTCTATCCTGCCAAAAATCATAGATTGGGAGAGTGGTTTGGATACTCTTGGAGATGCTCTAATTATAATATTAAAATTATCATAAATATAAGTTTGGAAATTATCATAAATTAAACTTAACCTTTATGATTGGCCTAATTAGTCATAGAAATAACTTTTAAATAGTTTAAAAGTTATATTAAAATAATTGTCATTTACAGTGTTAATCAGTCATAAATACAAGTTTTAGATGGTACTTTGTTCTTCACATATGGATAATGTCGAATATTTCACATTTTTTTTAATAAGAATTCGAAATCGTATAGAGAAGAAGCATAGAAAGTGAATTCAAATACATCCATTTAGCATCCATATTAAATCAGACGAATACTTTAGACATCCTGATCTATCCCTAACTACCGGGCTACAATGCGGGGTCTGCTTTGAGTCAAGGGTATTCAATTGAATATCCATTGTTTTTATCAAACAATTAGTACTTATATTATATATATGTTGAACACTTTCAAGTTATGATCAGATCTATAAATCTATATATAATGTTCAATTATATGTTAATTTTCTATTTATGATACAAATAAAATTAGTACAATATGAAACACTAAACTTTATGTTGTAAGAAAAAAATCTGTATTATCTTACTATTTGGTCAATCAAAGGCGAAAACTCTATTAAGCGACGGATCGTGCTCACCTCCTCCCTGGCCCACCTCGCACACGCGCCCACTCCCACGCCCCCACCCGAGCCGGCGAGCTCTTCCCTCCCTCCCCTTCGGCGGTGGCGTCGATGAGGTAGGCCTCCACCTCCTCCTCCTAGATCTGTGAGCACCAGAGACGAAGATGTCGGCGACAGTGGCTAGGGCGAGGAGGTTGCCGGAGAGGGAGAAGAAGCCAACTCCGCGGGCTATAGAAGGGCCTGGCCGGGGGAGGCAGGCAAGCTAGGTAGTGGGGAAGGAGGCCGGGTAGTTTATGGGGCCTAGCGGTGGTAGCGATGGCTGGGACAGGGAGGGGTGGGGGCGCCATGGCTGGAGCTCGGAGCCCGGCGTCGCCGGCGAGCATGGCCATGGTGGAGCTCCGGCGAGAGGGGGTGTGAGGTGAAGCAGACGGCCACCACGGTCGCTAGGGTTCGCTAGAGCTTCGGCGAACCCTAGGGCCCACGGTGGGGAGATGGCCGGTGGCGGGGGCGAGGACGAGGAGGAGGGCGGGGTGGAATGAGGATGACCGCGGGCGAGAGGGCTGAAGGAGGAAGACAACCACATGGGCAGGAGGAGGAAGACAACACGCGGTGGGAACGAGGTGTGGCTCGCGCGACTCGTCGCGCTTTATCTTCACCGGTAGACATGCACGTGCGACACACACGTGTCTATAAAAATATCAAGATGGATGAGTAAAAAAAGTGTTTAATAATTGAATTTCTACATATACGACACACACGTGTTCATAAAAAGGTTCATTCTTAATGGAGGAATTATAGTGAAAATTTTGAGAAATAATAATACGAGGATTAATATAATAGATAACAAGAATCCAAATAGAAATAAGAATGTGTATTTGCGGCAGGAGTTTGCTGCTCAATTTATATACCGAATGAAAATAAACAGTGTATTTACAACAAGAGTTGCTTGGTAAGCGCCAACATCATGTTTGAATTCATATCAAAATCCAACCCACAACTAAAATGATAACTTTCTTTCACAACAACGGTCATTTCCCTTATGGTACGCTTCAAAATTTTAATCGATTGAATTATCAATGAAAGCATCTAGGCCCCTAGTTGGGTTTCGGTGATTAATGACAATACAAGATTACTATGACTAACGTGTGTTTTGCAGAGGCAATTAAGTTAGGTCATGGTAATGGAGATCGATTGGGCAATCAAGGTGGTCATGACCCTACGATGGAAATCGTTTCGGTTTTCAAAGGATGGACGACAAGGTTAAGGATGGACTAGTTCTAAGTGTCGATTGGAGTTAAAGAGACACTTAGAGTAGTTTAGGATGTTCCCAATCAAGTTCCAACTCAAATAAGATCTAAATAAACACTAATTGGGACTGATGTGAACAGGCAGCACGAAGAATTTTGAAGATTCACCGAAGGAGTGACCGGACGCTGCACCGGACTCTGATGTCTAGCGTCTGGTCAGTTCACAGGAGGTGAACTTGCTGCGAAGGAGTGACCGGATGCTGGAACAGTGTTTTCTCAGCGTTCGGTCAGAAGGAGCTTCAGCGTCCGGTCGATGATGGAGACGTCAAGGCTAGGTGACCGGACTCTGGCTGCGTCCGGTCGATGTCCACCGGACGTGTCCGGTCGTGATTCCAGAGGATTTGGACCTCTCTGGAATCGACCGGACGCTGGGTGGTAGCGTCCAATCGCTACCACCGGAGTGTCCAGTTAGTAGAAATCGTGCGGCATCAGATCTCTTTTCTCCGTTTCCTTTTTTGATCCATGGGGGCCACATTATAATCCACCGCTGCGTCGCGCGTTTGCCCTAACCTGCATCTACTCCGCACCGACATCGTCGTTTTTGTCTCCACCGCCGCAGACCCGCGCTCGCCTCTGCCCAGCCGCCGAGCTCGTCTCCGCCGCCACAGTCCCGCCCGCGCGCCCTCGAGCTTCACCGCCGCGTTCGCGCCGAGCCAGCACGCTCCCGCGCCGCCAGCGCCTCCTCGAGCCGCGCCGTGCCCTAGCCGCCGCATCCCGCGCAAGCTCGGCCTACGCCCGTGCCCTCACCGTGCTTCAGCAGCGCCCTCACCATGCTTGCCCTGCTCCAGCCGCACCACCGTGCCCAGCACCACTGTGCCCTAGTTCCACCGCCAAGCAAGCCTCTGCAGTGCCTTGCATCCTCGTTAGTTCCTCCACTACAAATACTCGTCGTTGACTCATCATATTGCGTCACTGATCTTCGTCGAGTCGGAACCCTAACCCTAGCCGAGTCGGTGGTTTCCCGCGGATTGCTTCTCTTCTTTTTGGATCGCCGGTTCGTTAGGTAGCATGCCCACGTTTCAATTTCGTACCTAAATTGCTTGCTTCCTAGGGTTTCACATCTATTAAGTATATTGTATTTATTTGTATACCCTATCTATTCCATCATGCAGCGAGTCGGTGCCGTTAAGGTGTCAGTGGCAGTTGTCAGTTAACTCAGAGCCAAGCTCGCGAGTACGGAACGAGGCCAAGCCTCGAAAGTGTCAGAGGCAGTTGTTTCTTGTCAGCGGCAGTTGATTCTCTTTAGATTCATCAGATGGCTCGCACGAAGAATGTCGGTGGTGGTCCAGGAGAAGAGGATCCGAGGCGTCCACCTCGCTTGCCTGCAGATCCTAAAGGCAAGGCGACGAAGAAGGTTGCATCAAAGAAGCACAAGTACCCTGATGCAGAGACAACCAGAGCAGTTGCAGTTGCTGAGGCCGCAGAGCATGCCGAGAGAGGAGGTTCTCGAAGTGGAGTTGTTATAGCAGATCATCTGTCACCAGAGGCACAAGGTAGACTTGAGCTTATTGAGCGTCTTCATGGTGGTCCACCTGGGACTATCATGATGGCAGGACGACGTCTGGCTATTGAGGAGCCTCAGCCTCAGGGGAGTCCCAGCAGGAGCCACAGCAGTAGCCCCAGATAGTAGAGCCGACAGAGCAGCCTCAGGAGGGAGAGCAGGCAGAGGAGACAGAGCAGGTACCTCAGCCATAGCTTTGCCGCTCTAGTCGTACTCGTGCCCCAGTC